GGTAGTTTTGGACAACCTATTTATTTTTTTCTCCAAAGAATTCCTTAGCATTCTTATCTCCCGTTCTTTACTATTTACATGTTCTTTGAATATGTTTTTTATCCAAGTTGTTTCGATCTCCAACGCTTCAATATCTTCTTCTTGTTTCTTTGCCCGAGCTATAAAGTGTGTTGTGTTTTGGACGTCACATACAGGCAGACAGGAGAAGCCCCAGCTTCATAACGGGTGCACGTGATTTCACCCTTCGAGCATACTAGAGTACCCGTTGGTGCTTGTTCTCCTATCACACCTGAAACTATATGTTATGATATCAGGCCCGTAAGACACTTTTTTCCAAGGGGGGTGCGGTTTTTAGCTTACTAAAGAAAATATAAAATTGTCAATTTTTTTGCCGCGTAAATCAAATCGCGTAAGACAGAGGCGGGGGGGGTCAGTTACTCCCTATATTGGTTTGGAATTAACAAATGCAACTTCCAAACGTTCCAATTGTTTTGTGGGGGGTGTGAGGAGTGGTCCACTCCCCCTAGAAAATTTTACAGTTTTGAGATGCTATTTGGTGCTTTCTGGGCACTTTCAAAGTGTAAGTTTATAAGTAGTACGCTACCACCACAAGAATAAGAGTTGAGTGATTAAAAAACTGAGCATTCAGGGGGTCTGGGGGTTCAAAATTTTGAAATTTGCTTGTATTTGGAGCAAATTTGCAACCATCTGGTACGCCTGTGCGTTATGATCCAATAAGCATTTCTTTCAGCAAATTCTTTTGGGGGTGTCAAAGAGGATGAGAGGGTGAAGTGGGGCGGGGTGCCAGTAGGGGAGCAAGGGGTTGTCCCCCAGAAACATTGACCATATCAAGATGCTATTTGATGATGTCTGGGAACTTAAAAAATGTCTGAGACAATACATGAGATTCAGAATATTTATTTTGTTTTGTGGGGGATGTGAGGGGTGGCTAACTCTCCTAGAAAATTTTACAATTTAAAGATGATATTTGGTGCTTCTGGGCACTTTTAAAGGTATTAGTCAATAAAAACATTGAAAAACAATCACAATTTTTTTCAAATTTTGGGGGTGTCAAAGGGGAGGAGGGGTGTCAGAGGGGGAGGTGGGGCTGGGGTGCCAGAGGGGAAGCAAGTGTTTGTCCCCCATATCAAAATTTACAATATCAAGGTGTTATTTGATGAAGTGTCTGTGCCTAAAAGCGCATATTTCCCAAGAAAATTTTACAATTTTAAGATGCTATTTGGTGCTTTCTGGGCACTTTCAAAATGTATGAGTCAATAAAAAAATTTGAAAAATCTCAAGTTTTTTTGGGGGGAGGGGGGTGTTAAGGGGGGGGGGCTGCCAGAGGGGGAGGTGGAGTGGGGATGCCAGAGGGCGAGTAAGTGTTAGTCTTCCAGAATCATTAACTTTATCAAGGAGCTATTTGATGATGTCTGGGCAATTTAAAAGTGTCTGAGACAATACATAAAACAAATTCAGAACTTTTCCATTGTTTTGTTTGGGGTGTGAGAGGTGGTCAAGGGAGGCGCCAGAGGGGGGGGGGTTATGCAAGTGCAAGATGCAAGAGGGGAAGCAAGTCCCCCAGAAACACTAACTATATCAAGGAGCTATTTGATGATGTCTTGGCACTTTAAAAGTGTCTGAGACAAAACACTAAAATAAAAACTTTTTCATTGTTTTGTGGGGGGTGTGAGGGGTGACCAATACCCCTAGAACATTTTACAATTTTAAGATGCTATTTGGTGCTTTCTGGGTACTTTCAAAGTGTATGAGTCAATGAAAAAAAATTACAAAAAAAAAAATTTTTCTAATTTTTTTTTCATATTTATTTTGGGGGGTAACAAAGGGGGGTGCGGTCGCACCCATCGCACCCCCCCATCTGACGGCCCTGGATATGATTGCAATTTATAATGACAGTGAATTTTACTTTTACCCCAGAAATCTAAGATAATCGAGAATAAAATTAAGTACTTGAACGTAATATTCCATATTCCGTTTTCTCATCATATACTGACTTGTGCGATCCGTATTCAACAAAGGTAAGTTCTAGTATTAAATACTGGTTATCTAGATTGTACGTTGTTTACATCGAATATAGATGTACGCAGGCCGTTTCAAGCCCCCGTAATAATAAAATCATATTCATGTTAATAATATTAGAAAATTGTAATTTGTTTTAGGCTTTGTATAAAAAACCTCCTACCTCATACCCACCTACCCACGTACGTGGGGCATGGTACAGTCCTTGAAGGGTTCAATTTTAAAAAAATATTTGTGGATCGTCTAGTTGAAAGCCCATGATCAGTCATGTCATAAAATAAAGCCGAAATTGCAGAAATGTTAATAATTTGAGCTATTTTGAATTGAAGTCTGCTTTTGATTTCTCGAAATGTTTTTTCGTTGATCGGCAGTCTGGCTTTGTATAAAAAAAACTCTCATCTAGCCTGCGACAACTTTCAGCTCATCATTACTAAGATAGACCGGAAATGTGTTTTCGAGTCGAGTAAATGGTACTTTTTATGAAGCGGGGAAGTCAAAATGTTACTATTAGAAATCATATTAAGCATAAGAAGATTATTTAGAAGCATTTAAATCCACGGCAAAATCTGAATAATTGTAATATACACACACGGACGTCACAGAACACACATCCGGTTTTGTAATCGATAATTTTTCAGTCAAAAAATATTTTTATGAATCTGCTTAAGATATGATATGTATACTTGCGTTGATTGCTAAATTACAAAAATAGTTAGGGTAAAGAATATGCCAAAATCGTTTCATCTCGTTCCAGAAGCAATGTTTTGTCACTTGTATCTCCCTCAGAATGGCCTCACCCTTAAATGGTTTTTGGGGTCCCCATAGCTCATTATTTGCAATAATTATATCAGAAATAATCATTCTATCAACATGAAATTCTATCTAATCCTCAATTAATTCAATTCCTTTCAGATAAAACAAATCAGATATAAATCGCATTATGACTTTTTATGCTACCTGAGGCCAAAGAACTGAAACATATCCAATTAATACATAAATTAATATATAAATGCTACGAAACGTTACAAAATGCTAAAACACCTGACCCCTTATGATTAAGTTTATACATATTTCCATGCATTTATAAATAATGCCATACATATTTAAAAGGTAATAGATTAAACTATATGTCACAACTGAAGTCAGAATGAAAAAAGCTTCCGCATAGTAATTGCAAAACATATCTTGGACCTTTAGAATATAGTTCGGAGTAGGGATGTTATTTGGTTTCCTGTATAAAAATACCTTCTCTCCTTTCCCGGCACGTCGCAGCGCCCATCTAGTGTTTGATAAATGAATCAATGTTTATTCTCGATAGGGTAGGTACTCATCTATCAGGAAATATTTACAAGTTTGGTTAAAACAGAATTTTTAGAGATGGCGGAGTGATTTTCGAGACTATGTAGAGCAGTATAATTTTCTGAAACAGGTAGCTTTACCGTGGTAGCTCTCTCCAGATTCAGTTATCTCAAAAACGGTGTGGTCACCGTATCATTATTTTGTAACGGCAAGCTAGACAAGACTCCAATGAACACTAGGCACTGTTTCGCTGAGCTAGATCTGTGTCCATGAATATATTATGACATGAAACGTTACAATGGTCCTCAATGGGATTTTTAACTGCAATCTTGACCCTTAGAGGGTGTAAACTAAACAAAAAAACATTTAAGGGTTAAACATTTTTGCAATTCCGGTTTTATTTTATGACTAGACAGTTGACAGATCCATAGACAAAGGCATCAACTAAGATTTAATATTTTTTAAAATTGAGCCATTCAAGGACTGTACCATGTCCCACTTACATGGGTAGGTGGGGATGAGGTAGGAGGTTTTTATACAAAGCCTTTGTTTTATAATATGCATTGTAATTAATGTCTTCGTGGTCTTGCGGTTTCACCGGATGAAGTTCACTTCAGTATAATGTCAATATTGTGGTATGCACGTTAAGGTCAGGGTGCATGATGGGAAATTTTCTGCATTCCTCAATTGAGTCAAAGAGGAGGGAAATCCCCAGAGTTTCAAGATGACAGACATAATTACCTCTCTTGCTTACCACCTTCGTTCGTTCGAATTTTCATCGGCTAGTTATCAAATACTACACTTCGATGGGATGTTATAATAGATATAGGCATATTCCTTACAACTTTCTTTATCTTGATATGAAATGAGAAGCTATGATATTGGTTAACACGCCAGAAATGAACATAATATTATTCGAAGCGTATTTCGAAAATTTTGAAACCGCCAGTGATGACGTCATTTGTTTGTCGACTTTTGACCAATCAGCGACCGTGTCATCTCAATACAGATTTACATTATAAGCGTATGTCATCTTTGAACCCTGGTGTTTCTCCCCCTCTGATTGAGTCACATGTTATTTTTCAAACAAGAATCACTCCTTCTCAGTCTTCATTGTCTTTATCTTCCAGTTTTGCACAAAGAGTGCACTTATGTGCCTAGAAAAGACTTGTGAGAAGAATGTTTTGATAAAGTGTATAAAAAACAAGAAAATTCAGAGAAAAAAATCAGAAAATTTTCAGAATTTTTTTTCACTGAATTTTCTCATTTTTTATACATTTTACAAAACAAACCTTCTCACAAGGCTTTTCTAGGCACAAAGGTGCACTCTTTGTGCAAACTTGGAAGATGTAGACAATGTGGGGAAGGAGTTATTCATGTTTGAAAAATAACATGTGACTCAATTGAGGAATGCAGAAAATTTCCCAACATGCACCCTGTCCTTAATTTGCGTTTATTGACAATTCGCCTGGTGCAGCTTGCAAAAAAATGATGAATAATTAGTCATCTCAGGTCCGTAACTAGGGAGGGGGATCGGAACAAAAGCTGGCAAAAGCTCTCCCTTGGTAAAACAGCTCATCTGATAAAATCTGGCTGCGGGAAAGTCAATGGAGACTCATTCAATTCACAATCACTTACTTTTATTTGTCAATAGTATTTCGTTCGGTGAAATAGTGTAAACCGGAAGTATCTAATATCGCCCAAAATAGTTTCTCATTTCGGAACTCGAACTTTTACTCAACTTTTAGTAATTATCCATTCATGTCATGGTACGTAGGCCTAAGCACTGAGTACCATCAGGTAATTGAACCCACATACATGTAGAAACATGTAGAAACAGAAAACCCCTGAGTCGTATGGTCGTCGATTTTCAATACGATTGCACAGTTTGGAACATTTTCAGGAGAACATACGGCATCAGTGGATGCGATTATACAAAATGTAAAATATACAAATTTTAAGGGATATGTATCTAGACAATGTTGGAAATTATGGGCTTTCAGACGACCATGGGAAAGTGGTGATCCAAAATCGTCATTTATTTTTGTTCCCAACTGCGGTATGGAAAAAGAAACAGCCTGAGCAAAGCTTAGATTAGAAGCCATCTTCAATTATCTTCTACCAAGACCATATTTCATTGCTGTTGTGCTTTTCCTTGTCTGATTATTTAAAGGGTTTGCGTAATTATAGCCATCTCCTTGATGTAAGTTCACCTTGAACTACATGTAAACCGATCAGTCTGTCAAAAGCAAGTTGTGACATATTCAAAGATCACGATTATCAATTCAGTGGCATGTAAACTTATAATTTCAGGGCAGCTTCCAATAAAGGCGAGTTTTAGTCTAGATGATCGAGGAGCCTGGGTGGCAACGAACGAAGTACATCTAATATGTCTAATCCAATAAAACGATTCACCCTTTACATCAAAGCAGGAAGTGATGGTACCTGTGTAGGCGACTGCCCATTTTCACAGAGAGCATGGTTATTTATGTTAATCAAAAGACTCAAAGATCAAACTACAGTGGCGACCATCAACATTCTCAACAAGTCTGACGAATTTCTGAAGATGAACCCAAAAGGGAAAACTCCAGTGTTGTTCGACCACAAGGAAAACAAGGCTGTTGATGATTCTGAAGAGATTTGCACTTATATAGATGGTTTATTTCCTGAGCCTCCTGTCGGTTGCAACTTTAAGGAGACAGCAGCAGATGCTGCCACATCTAAGGTAAATGTTGATCGCTGGGGGGGGGGGCTTGCAGTTACATACTGTAGGAACATAATACTAAAATGATTTTCTAGCTGATATGGTATAAAAATAAGATAAGTAAAAATAGAATTCATAGAGTTTTTTGTTTTGCAAATAGAGCAGTAGACTTGTCAATAAAATCATGTGTAAACAAACATGCTCAGTAACTGAAAGATATTTTGTCAAAAGCAGAATGTGCCATTGTAAGTATGCAGTTATGATTTGGGGCAAGTCCAAATCATTAGTCTAGAAAGTATATATCATGATTTGGGCTTGTCCCAAATCAGTCGCATACTGACTGTGTAAGGTGCCAAATTCTAAACTATTTAACCTTCTGATTGAATTTTTGATTGAAACCTAAATTTTTCAGATATTTCCATCTTTGTGTAAAATGATCATGAACAAAAACACATCTGAGACACCAATTTTAAAACAGACTTTAACCAATGAGCTGGTGAAAGTGAATGCCTACTTGGAAACATCAAAATATCCGTTCCTGACCGGGGACACCTTACAGGCGATTGACTGTGCCGTATTACCTAAATTACTTCACGTGAAAGTCGCTGGGAAAGCATATAAGAATTATACAATCCCCAATGAGCTCGAATCGCTAGCAAAGTACCTTGAAAACGCAGAGGCTGATCCTGTATTTGCAGAGACAAGACCACTCGATGAAGAAATAATCTGTGGCTGGGGGCGACATGATATTTTAAAAGAGTTGTAGGTCTCTTTAAAGGATCAAAATGAACTGGACGTTTTCTTGGTTATATAACAAAAGACGTAATATTCTGAATTCTTTTTATAAAGATATATTTAATCAAACACTTTATGCAAATGTATGTGTGAATTATTAATATCGCGGACAATATGATAAAAAATGAACTTTTACTGCAATATGATGAAAATAGTTTGTTGTATACATTTTCCATCATGCTTCAAAATAAAATACTACGGGTAAATAAAATACAACATCTCGTGCTTTTAATTTGAAATAGATTGTTCTTCAATCAGATTTTTTTTAATATATACTAGCCTAGTAGTAGATGTAGTATTTGGTAACTTTGTAAAACATGTTATTTTGTGAGCAGCAGTTTAGAATTTAGACTAGCTCTAATAGATACTAGTAGTCGTATTTTCGTATCGTATGTTTAAAATCTCAAATGGTATTCAAAATCAAAATAAAAGAATAATGGAGTAATTCTAGTTGAACTTGGTGGTGGGATGTGTTTGTCAATTTAAAACATTTTCTTTTTATATTGACACGTCACAAAAAGGTCGCGCACATGTGTTTTTAGGGTGTCACATAATTCCAGAAGCACTCGATGCCTGATACACATCAAACACGTGCTAAAATTTAGCACGTGTTTGAGATTGATCAAACCCGTGCTAAGGTTAAGCACGTGTTTGAGGTTGATCAAACCCGTGCTAGAATTTAGCACAGGTTTGAGGTTCGATCAAACCCTGGGCCTCAGATCAAACCCGTGTGTGAAGCTCAAAGTGTTCCGGGCTACCCAAGTATTCCGACTCCTGCCGAAATATTCTGAATTGACCCAAGTATTCTGGGTTTACTTATTTTAGCAAATACACTCGATATGGTGATTTTTCAATTTCTTATCCAATTTTAGATTTCTACAGAGATGACTGTTGAAATTAAGTTAATCAAATCACTTATAATGTGGCTGTCTCATGCACAAAAGATTTTCTTTTTTTTATATATAACTACACTCCCCTCCATAAGTTTGGCAACCTTAGCTCCCCCATTGAACTACGTGTTAAAGCCTCTTTACGTTTGAATTTTTATTTACTTAACCGGCGATGAGATAACTTATAATATTAATGGAAACGTAACTTGACCTTATTTTCAATACCTCCAAAATTTCTCAATTTTTTCCTCAGTTAGAATAGGTCGAAAATTGATGATAAATTTAATGAATTTTTGAAAATCGTCATTCCCGTGTAATTCAATGGGAAATGGAGGGTTCGGGCAAATCAGAAATCAGGATATATTTTCAGTAAAAGATTCAGCAAAAAAAATTATATAGAAAATTGAATTGTCTAACTTTTTTGTACACTAAGTGTTTAGTTTATTTGATGAATACTAAAGTTACAGCGCTTCAAAGTCATTTTTGAAAATAATTTTTCGCCTCCTGAGTTATTTCAATGGGAAAGGTTTTTTGAAAAACTATTTTGACTTTAAAGCCCTATAACTTTGTTGAACCTGAAGAAACATATCAATTTTTTGTTAAATAAAGTTAACAAATTCAATTGCCTGCCTTATTCGTATTTTTTGCAAGGACTCGGATAGATGGATATTCTGTCATATGACTTGCGGCAAACCTATTTCCCATTTCCCATTGGTTAACATGGGAATGTCGATTTTCAAAAATTCATCAAATTTATCATTAATTTTCAACTTATTGTAATTGAGGGAAAAAATTGAGAAAATGTTGAGGTATTGGAAATAAAGTCAAATTACGTTTCCGTTAATAGTATAAGTATTTTCATGGTAGGTTAAGTAAATAAAAATTCAAAGGTAAAGAGGCTTTTAACACGTAGTTCAATGGGGGAGCTAAGGTTGCCAAACTTATGGAGGGGAGTGTAACAGGGCACCCATTGAGGAGTGTCAAATCCCCGGGTGTTCGACCTTTGCACCATGGAACACTCCTGAGCAATAGGATATTTGGACAGAATATATCGATATATGTAGACTGGGTCTCAGTTTCAGGAATACTAAGTATGTCTCAACTTGTTCAGGAAAATTGTCCTTTTGAAAAAAATGGGTGCGTTTTTCTAATAATGGTCAATTTTTCGACATTTTCTGGCTCTCTTTCTTCATCGTGTGGCACTTTTAACTTTTGGCACCCTCTCTTGTGAATTTTAAGATATAAAATATGTGAACTCGGAACACTTAGGTTGTCAGAACAGTTGGGCAAGAGACAGAACACTTGGGTAGCCCAGAACAGTTGGGCTTTCACACCCGTGCTGGAATTTAGTTCGAAGTCCAACCGATAGAGGCGCTCCTAACCCGTGCTACAAATCCAACCAATCAGAGCGCTCTTAACCCGTGCTATCTGCCGAAATATCTTTCTGGAAGTTTTGTACCGTTAGTTTGTAATACATATAGCCGAACTGAAGGTAAGAAGTTGCTCAAAGTGAACAAGACTAAGCGAGGATCAAACAGGGTAATGATTTTTTCTTATAAATTCAACATAAAACTTGTAATTTTCCCGTAAAGTGAGTATGATGAATTATCGCCCATTGATTTTGATTTTCAAAAAATTTCACTGCGTCAGTTAACCTAAAAAAAAAGAAATTAAAATATCATTATGCAAAAATATATGGAAAATATATTCCTATTGTACATAAATGACTTTCGTTTATCTTGAATTAGTTCTAGTTTGGCTAATAAAGTGTGTGGCCTCTTATGTGTTCATGCTTCTCGAGACCCTATCTACAAGACTTACATGTATGACTGGCACAATCGTCACCATGTTATCAAGTATTTTTATGGAGACCCTATCTGTTGCAAGACCTATGCCTGGCACAACCGTCACCATGTTATTAAGTAATTTTAAGTTTCGCAAGGATCCTGCCATGACCGTGGAAGTGTTATTGTGATAGCCTGGTATAACAGTGACAATGCTATATTATATCGCATGGTCTGTCATGACCGTGGTAATGTTAAAGCCTGATATGACCGTGACAATACTAAACTATATTGCAAGGCCTGACATGACCGTGGTAATGTTAAAGCCTGATATGACGGTGACAATGGTTACAAGGCCTGTCATGACCATCATAATGTTAAAGCCTGATATGACCATGACAATGGTTGCAAGGCCTGTCATGACTGTGGTAATGTTAAAGCACAATATGACCGTGACAATGGTTATATTAGTGATCGACATTTAGTAGCATGAGAATACTGTAATCGAAAACGTCATCATTTATCTACCTTAAATATGTAAATCTAGGATACTACTACTACTTTAACTCACAATTCATTTCCACAAACTATAATTCTAATCTCATTCAAGAACGTGAACATTGTCACAGTTATATCAGGCTTTAACATTACCACGGTCATGACAGGCCTTGCAATATAATATAGCATTGGCACGGTTATACCAGGCTTTCACGATAACAATACCACGGTCATGGCAGGATCCTTGCGAAACCTAAAAACACTTAATAACATGTCGACGGTTGTGCCAAGCATAAGTCTTGCAATAGATAGCATGTGTTTTTATGTTGCACAATGATCCTGCCATGACCGTGGTAGTGTTATCGTGAAAGCCTGGTATAACCGTGACAATGCTATATTATATTGCAAGGCCTGCCATGACCGTGGTATTGTTATCGTGAAAGCCTGGTATAACCTTGACAATGTAATATTATATTGCAAGGCCTGCCATGACCGTGGTAGTGTTATCGTGAAAGCCTGGTATAACCGTGACAATGCTATATTATATTGCAAGGCCTGCCATGACCGTGGTATTGTTATCGTGAAAGCCTGGTATAACCGTGACAATGCTATATTATATTGCAAGGCCTGCCATGACCGTGGTATTGTTATCGTGAAAGCCTGGTATAACCGTGACAATGCTATATTATATTGCAAGGCCTGCCATGACCGTGGTATTGTTATCGTGAAAGCCTGGTATAACCGTGACAATGCTATATTATATTGCAAGGCCTGCCATGACCGTGGTATTGTTATCGTGAAAGCCTGGTATAACCTTGACAATGTAATATTATATTGCAAGGGCAGTGTCATGACCGTGGTAATGTTAAACCCTGATATGACCGCGACAGTGCTTTATTATAAATAAGGCCTGATATGACTGTGACAATGTTTCTCGTTCTTGAATGAGATTAGAATTATAGTGTTCGGAAATGAATTATGAGTTAAATGATTCTAAAATTTTATGTATCAATGTACGTGAGTACCATGTTCATGTATAGAAGTCTAGATTCACATATTTAAGGTAGTTAATCATTCTATGAAATTTGCAATGCTACTAAATGCTATTTAATATAACCATTGTCACAGTCATATTGTGCTTTAACATTACCACGGTCGTGACAGGCCTTGCAACCATTGCGACTGTCATATCAGGCTTAAACATTACCACAGTCATGACAGGCCTTGCAATATAATATAGCATTGTCACGGTTATACCAGGCTTTCACGATAATACCACCACAACCATGGCAAGATCCTTGCGAAACTTAAGAACACTTAATAACATGGTGACAGTTGTGCTAGGCATAAGTCTTGCAATAGATAGCATGTGTGCTTCTCTGCCATAGTATTTTCAAAAAGATACATTGTAACATGGCTGAAATTCATTATAAGAGGGCACAGGGTTATTGCACAAAAAAACTAAATAATCTGAAATATCCAAATGTCATTCATGTACAATATCAATATACTTTTCCAAATATTATTGCACAATGGTCTCCTGATTTCTTATTTTTGGGGACGGGACCACGGACGGGCTGTCCACAAATTCAAGTAATAAAAATGTCAATCAGAATCAGTATTGTCGAGTTCCCTAAGAGATCAAAGAGATCTCTTGTCTTAACTTACGTCTTAACTTATGTTTAAGCTTATCTCCATAATGTGGAGTTGATCAGCCAGCCACCCAGCAAGCCAGCCATCCAGCCACCCAGCAAGCCAGCCAGCAAGCCACTTACTCAGTCACAAGTAAGTCACTTACTTCCTTAGTCATTATCTCACTCTCAATCAGAAGTTCAGTAACTCATTCACTCTCTCAATCAGTCTCTCTATGTGAGAGTTCATATGTTGGAATATTGATTGAAATAATCCTACTTCATTTGGAATTATTCACAATTGCTGTTTTCTACTTTTTGAGTTTAAAAGAGGAATCTAGTATAATAATTTGAGTTTTTTAGAGATCTGTTAATTTCAACAAATGAATGGATTAATAGAGAGAAACATGTGAATCCATTGAGGATTGCATCAAAATACCAAGCATCCATACTCAAACTTAGCAAGAGCTGCTCAAATGTTTTAGATCTAAATTATGAACCCCATTTTGTACTTTTCGAAGAT